GGGGGGGGGGGGGGGATTGCAGCCCTCTCAGCCCCTCTGGCTACGGCACTGTTAAAAACACATTCGATCTGTGGGTTTTGGTCCCCGAAAAGATACAATAAGCAAAATGTTAACAGCACAATGGCAGATTGGTAGCAAATTAAAAAAACAAAAATTCCTACAACAAAACCCATCATTAAGTCATCATTAAGTCCATGTTCTGGCGACAAGGTCTGCTGACAGAATGGGTACATCAAAAAATACGACCGCTGATTGAACGCTCATTGAGCTCTTGGATCTGACTGGCATATATTTTTAGATATAAAAGAATATTTTAATCAGGTGTAAAAGCACTGAGCGCTCAGTGAGCGGTCGTGTTTCTGGCTGCACCCATTGACAGCAGAAATCGAGTAAATATTGCCGCCAAATTGCGCGCAGCAGGGTCTCTTTGGTTTCACCAATTTGCCGTCAGACTGTTACAGGGATTGTTTCGTTTTTGCTGTCAGTTTGCTGGCATAGCACGTCAGCAAGCTCTGTCAAATTTCTGGCAGCGGTTTAGCAACATCGTCAGATTAAATAGATTCTGTGTAGGATTTGCAGCCTCTCTCTCTCTCTCTCTCTCTCTCTCTCTCTCTCTCTGGCATCAAACGTTTATAGTAGATTCCTTCCAGAATCTGTCTGCGTAGGCTTGCCTATCTGGGCACGCGTTGGAAGCCTATAGATGGCGTACTCGCCTACCCTTTTTACACTACTCTACAATCAAAGAGGATTCAATTAATGAACCGTACAGTACATACGCGGCTTTACAGCCTGCAAACTTAATCGTCCGCATAAATTAGCCAAGATAAAAGAGAAGGCGGCGACTGTTTTTTTATGTCCGGGCTACTTCGCTGGTTTTCTTCGCCGGCGAAATTGTCGACACTCGCGAAGATGGCCATGTAAGCTCGCGATTTTATATCAACCCACCCCTGCCAAACACCAACTTTTAGCCGCGATCACGGGGCAGCTCCCGGGGTCTAATTAAACTCGTGGAGTAGGTTCGCGAGTTACCCACTGGCTTAGGACGCCCTTTCCTTACTTCACCTCGCCTTCGTTGCAGGCGATATAACACCGGGAATGTTATTCGACAACGAGACTCGCTCGTGGCCCGAGCGGATTCGCCGAGTTTCGCGGCAGGCGACGCGCGAAATTGTTGCACGAAAAGTTCTTTCCTCCTGAGGGAAGTTGTCATGTGTCTTTGTACCATTGTTGTATATCGTGTTGCGCGACGCAACTTTATATTATATCTTACTTCGGCTTCCGACACAGTAAGTGCGCCGTAATATATTGTTTCGTCAATGACACTTTTCCGCTCCACAGCTTGCTGCACGGTTTTCTCTTTTATTTCGCGAAACAATGCGCGCACGCGTGTGTCTTCGCTGTCTGTATGAGTGTGTGTGTGTGTGTGTGTGTGTGTCGCGAAGTGAATATCCTCTTCGACATTTCGCATTCCTATCTTACTTCGCCTCGCTGTTACCTCCTAGAATAACGGAGGCGAGGCCACCCATCCCCTACTTGCCTTCCCTATGCGCACACCAGGCCTCCTCTCTCGCACCCTGAGTTTTTCCACTCAGAAAACACTCGACTCGTATCCCGGAGCTACAAGACACTGCCGTGGTTACGAGATTTCGATATTCCCTTTGCCTTTCTTTCCGCGTGCCTGGCTGGTATCTCGCATTGCGATACCGGTGGCGCAGGATGATCAGACTTGGGAATAAAGTGTCTGGAAAAAAGAACGCGGAGGGGAAACACAGCTGGGCGGGGTAAGGCGAGGCGGGAGGATGCTGAATTAACGTCTGCGAAGCGCACCGCGAACTGCAATTTCGTAAATTACTTTAAGTATGCCGCTGCGCTCTTTTGTAATACAGCCAATGACGGAGCAAAGAAGAAGTATCCGCATTACAAGACAGAATATTTGCCGGCGTGTCGGAACATTCTGCTGAATCGATCCTTTTTTTTTTATTCCCTTCCTTTTTACTTGAGAGAAGATGTAGGGTCACGGTTAGGAACATAATGGGATGAAACTCGAGAATGAAAGGCTTTTAGTTGCCAAATGAGCTTTGCAACAGCATACGTTAGAATAACTCCAACGCGGATAACTATAACGCGAGTTAATATCCCGTTGACTTTTGCCGAGTGGGTGTTAAGGGGGGTGAGAGAGATCAAACGTTTTCGGCTATACGCGAGAGCGCGGAGAGAGAATCCTTCTTCCTCTCCTCTCCTCCTGCCGGATTTCCCGATCGGCATTCCCCGAGATTATGCGGACGACCAGGTCGGCCGAAAATCCGTAGAACGAGCCGAACGAAGTGTTTGCAGAGGACGGATCTAATTTCGCGTGTACCACGATGATAAACGGATCCAGCCGAGAGATAGGTCGAGATAGAGGAGGAGGCTCGCCGCGGAACTCCACTCGGTCCATCCTGCCACCTCTATCGAGTTATCCTTGATTCCGTTAGCTCGGCCTAATCTCCCCTCTTTGGCCGCCTCTCTCCGTTCCCGAAGCCCCGCTTACTATCGTCCTTGCAGCAGATCCTTCTATCTACATACTCTCTGGCACGTCCCCTCCTCCTCTATCTGCCTCTACTTCTGTCTCCCTGACCTTGCGCCCGGTTGTCAGCGGCATATTCGTCCATCTCTCACCGGCACGATGCAAATTTCGAAGAGCCTTCGGCCACGGCCGTAAATCAGGTTAACGTTGTCCGTGTTCGTCCGGTCAGCCGGAGGCGCGTGCATCGCGTCCGACATGCACATGTAACAAGCTCTGTCGCCGTGATCTGCTCTCTTTCCCGCTCGAGTCCGTTGAGATTGTAGCTCCACCGAGTGTTTATGATAGCCACGCGGCCACTCAGGAGAGGTCAGACCGCAATTCGACCGCGTCGCTCTCATTGGTCTGGTTGCATTCTGGTGATCTCTTGACGATCGCGCTCCGCTCTGTTCTATCACCCTTCCGGAGGTTAATGGGCAAAAGTGAGAGACGCGCGTTCAGGTGGGAGATTTTCGCACGCTCGTACGATGGGGATGAGAGGAGTCAACTCCTACTCGCGGTTGCATCGCGAATGCTGTCGTCGGGTCGACCCTA